AGCTCGGCCCTGCTCCGGCACCCCTCAGCCCCAAGTTCTCTCAAACCACTGTTCGTGCCTTGCCAGGGCAGCAGGGCAGCCTTGCTGCTAATGCCTTGGGGATAATGTGGCAGCAGCGCCTGCTTTGGGCATCTCTTGGGGTCCAGAGTCACCCTGGTTGTGCCCATGGGATTTTTTCAGGCTGGTTGTAGCCTGGGTGCAATTTCCCTGCTCAGCCGGGATCTGCTGGAGAGGGACTGGCTGAGAAAGCACATTCCTGGCAGCACAGGGACCCGCCTCGAGAGCAGGAGACCAAAGGGAATGGGACAAGCAGGGTCACCTTTCTCCTGGCCTATCGGGGACAAAGGATGGAGGATGCCAGTAGCTGTGCAGACTGCAAGGGGAACTCCTAGCAGTGCTCCCATGTCACGGTGTCCCATGCCCAATGGCAGCCTTCCCAAGCACTGAGTGAACAGCTCTCCTTTGTATTTCCCAATTTAGTTATGTCCTACCAGATATAACTGAGCCAGAGTAAACAGGGAAATCATGTTTCAAAGCACGTTGGAGGCGCTTTTCCACATGCCAAGGACTCATAGCCTCATGTGTGCCAAAGTGGGGGCACACATGGGGAGGTTCCTGCTCTCGCCATGCTGATGGTTGGGCATGCCAGCCCAGGCAGTACGGCAGCAGTGGCTCCTCTCCGTTTCTGTAACTCTCTTGCTGTCTCTTTTCACACAGATCTGGTGGGTCAAGCCAGCGACCGGACTCCACTGCTCATCAGAATTGTTCTCAGCTCTGTCGAGGCCTCGGAGCTCCTTGCAGCAAGGAAGAGGACAGGTAAATTTTACCCCATATAAAATAAGGTCTCCAGCTCTAAAAGATGTTCTTACCTTAACTCACTCAATGACAGTATTTGGAGATGCCCTCTGGGTTTGCCACCCCCCACCTCAGAGTTTGTGCCTCAGGCCCAGGCCGTCTCTCCATCCCCTCAGAGTGCAACGCTGCCTGTCACTGATGGTGGAGCTGGAGGGGCTGGGAGCAGCTCTCACCCATCTGCAGCACCATAACGCTGCAGCTGCAGCGCTTGGCAGAACAGCTCCATCCCAGTACTGCTGGGCATGTGGACCGTGCAGCCACATGCTTTGGATTCACTTCCTGTGCCAAAGCCTGTCCAACTTTGGGGCTGTGGCCTTGTTCTTGCCCGGGGTGGGTGTGGAGGCCAGTGCAGTGGTGGCGCCAGCCCCAGACCCTTCTGTTACCTGTCGCCTCCTTCCCCAAGCACCACACAGCTCTGGGCAGGTGTCTGTGCGCAGCCAGGTGCTGGTGTCTCTTCTAAAGGCACTGTCCTTGCAGGGCCACCCTGAGCCATGTCCAGTGACCCTCCACCGCCCTACCCGGGAGGCCCCTCGGCGCCACTGATAGAAGAGAAGCACGGCCCCCCCCCCGCGGCAGGTACAGGCGCTGGGTAGCACTGCTGGGCACTGGGCAGGTTTCCCTGGGCATGGCCACTTGCAGCTCTGACTCACAGTGTGCTCCGCTCTGCTGGGGAGCATGGTGGGATACCGGACTCCTGTCTCCGTGCCACCCTCTGGGGAAGGTGGGAGGGCCCAGGGGCAGTGGCAGCAGCCAGAAGCACTCCCTGCTCAGAACCTGGCTCTGCTCGCTGCTATGGGGTGAATTTGGGCTTCCTGTGGCCCAGAAGATGAGGCCCAGGGGGTGCTCCCCATCCCATATTGTGTTCCCCAACTTCCGCGCTGGGGCCAACCCCCAGACCACTCAGCTGAACCACCATCAGCTCTGCAGCCTCCTGCCCTAGCTGCTGACTCTGTTTCCTTTCAGATGGCACCCCTCCAGTTGTGGGACAACCCCAGGGGGTTCCCATTCCTCCTCCTGAATTTGGGCCCCCACCATATGAGCCACCCTCGCATCCAGGGTTCATACCCCCCCACATGCCCACAGACCCCTCTGGACCCTATGTGCCACCAGGTAAGTCCTTAAGGGGTTGTGTGAAGCAGGGGGTGGTGATGGGCAGGAACCCCCCAGAAGCATGTGGCTCCCAGGGAGCAGGGTGGGGCGGACACAATGGGGGTTGGGGCTTGCAGAGGGGCTCCTCAGGTAGGTGGCTTGGGCAGGGTTGGCCCCAAGTCCATACCTGGTGTGGCAGCCAGGTGGCCCCCAGTGAGGCTATGGCCTCTCCTGCCATGCACAAAGACGCTCACCTGTGCATGTTTCTCATTGCAGCAGGTTACTACCCCCCGCCAGGCCCTCACCCCTCCATGGGCTACTACCCCACCCCAGGCCACTACCCCTCTTCTGGCGGCCACACAGCCACAGTGCTGGTCCCATCAGGGACTGCCACCACCGTGACAGTGCTGCAGGGTGAGATCTTCCAGGGCACCCCGGTGCAGACCGTGTGTCCCCACTGCCAGCAAGCCATCACCACCAAGATCACCTACGAGATCGGGCTCATGAGCTTCCTTCTCGGCTTCTTGTGCTGCTTTGTTGGGTAGGTGCTGGAAGCAGAGCTGCAGTGGCAGAGGGTCAGGGCAGGGGTACACATGGGCTGTCTCTGGGTGCCTCAGCTCACCGCACTCTGCCTCTTGCTGTGCTCCAGGTGTGATCTCTGCTGCTGCCTGATCCCCTGCCTGTTCGATGACTTCAAGGATGTGACACACACATGTCCCAATTGTAAGGCCTACATCTACACGTACAAGCGCATGTGCTAACAGCACCCCAGGAGCCCGAGCCACTGGAATGACACTGACCCCTCTCCCGCTGCCGTCCTCGTCTCCATGCGTGCAACACTCCTTTGCTTAACTCTCCGGTGGTGTGTGTGTGTGTGTATCCCTGGCTCCCCCCAGCTCAGAGCTGCGACTGTCTTCCCAGCCTCTGGTCCTCGCTGTGAACGGTTGGATTGGTCACGCGGGTGCACAGGGAAGGTGGATGCGGGCCCCAGATGCTGTGTATGGGGCATTGCTCTGCACCCCCCTCATGCTCCCAGGAGAGGGGTGCCAGTGAGGCCCCTCTTGCCTGGAGCAGCAGCTGCTGGAGGCACCTACCCCTGGGTCCCCCAAAGTGCAGGGGGTATGTGATGGGAGGGAGCTGTTGCAGGCAGGGGCAGGTGTTGCCAGGAGGGGAGAGGGGACTCAAGCAGCCCACAGCACGCACAGGGGAAGCACTTTTAGGAAGGGGTTGGGTCGTGGCACGGAGACAGGGCAGCACCACACGTGCCAGGTTTCAGTGTGGGTCATGGCCTTCTCCAGCCAGGACAGCATGTAGCCCGTAGGCAGAGCCACCTTCAAGGCATAGTGTGTGTGAGGACACGTGGCAGCAGCACTGCACCCTTGATCAGCACCTCCGTCCTGCCTGAGCAGCCCAGCAATCACTGCAGTGCTGCTCCAGCTGCATGTGCCCCTGCTGCCGCTCTTTTGGTGCGGGAAAGCCCCTGGCAGCCTCTGAACCCCCTGCCCACTGTTAGTGACAACTGCCCCCGCCATGCCCCTGCCTGCCGAGCGCTGGAGATTAGGTTGGTACCAGGCCCTGCTGGCTCGCAGCGCTGCAGCAGAGCCACGGCCTGAGCCCAGCCGGGGCTGTTGGGCGTGCACCCTGCACCACCCGTCCTGCCACCAACACACCTGCTGGGGTTCCTCATCGCATGTGGGTGTAGGGGTTTAGTTTTAGCACACGTGAAAGGGGCTGAAGAAGGGGGCAAGCAGGCAGTGACAGGAGCTGCCTGCAGCACTGTGACAGATGAGGGCAAGGGGAGCCAGGAGTGTTTTCGGCCTCTGTGGCAGCTCCTCCCTCCCCAGGCCCCACAGCCAGGGCAGCCAGAGACCACAGCCCCTGGAGCAAAACAGGGGTCTCAGTCCATAGGTCTGCATTCACAGCTGGGCCTGCACAGGCAGCTGCCCTTTGCTCAAAGGTGGAACTGTGGCACTAGTTTGTGTTTTTACATAAATAAATAACAGACCCTCAATTCTCCTGTGCATCTTTCTTCTCCCCTGCTCCAAATCTACAGCAGATCTGTTCCCAAGGGAAGCTGAGGATAAGGAAGGATGGCATGGCATGACTGGGCACAGCAATACCAAGCACTAGAGGAAGAACAGCCCCAGCGGCAGAGGCTCCGGGGGTCACAGCTGTCAGCTGCAGTTGGGGTCACCCCACCTCTGCCCTCTATTTGTGCCCAGATACTCAGCTGAAAAGGAGAAAAGCCCCTGACACTGGGATGGAGGAAGGCAGAAGGGTGTCCCCTCACCCAGCCCAGGGGCCCTTCTGCCCTGGTTCTTGTCCTCAGCAGAGCTGGGGATTCCCTTTCTTCCAGGAGAGGCAGCAGGGACAGAGACAGGTGTAAGGGCAGAAGCATCTGCAGGAGTCAGAGGTGAGTACAACAGCACCAGCGGCTGTCCCCACTCTGCTTCTCCCATTGATCTCCCCCCCCCCCCCCCCCCCCCCCCCAGCCTTCCACATCCCACCCCAGCCCTGCACCTCATCGTGGTCACTCATTGGCCCAGGGACGTGCTTTGGCCTTACCCCAGCTACAGCATTGCACCTTTTTATTCTAGTCAAGGCTTCAGAAAAAAAACAACCCAACTCCACTGCAGCACAACAGACATCCCTCACCCCCATCCCCAATGGTCCTGTCCCCCATGGACCTTCCTCCCTGAAGTTAACTCCAGTTAACTGGATTCCTGTAACACAAACAAATAGGCATTTGAGCTAATAGCACACAGTCAACACTTCAGTTTCCCTCAGGGTAGGACACCTCGTGCTCTTCACTGAGAAGGCTGACAAAGGTTGCAGCCCACAGCAGGAAACTCCATCCAGCAGCTGCTCCCAGGAAAGAGATGGAAATCCAAGTGAGTGAAGCCTTTGCCAGTACAGCAGAAGATAGCTCCAGCCTTAAAAGCTGCCCCAGCTTGGGCAGGGAAGTGCTGCAGGGGAATCCTCACACCATCAGTCCTGTACACTAGTCAGCTAAGACATTACATTACAGTGCTTGCATTATCGGTGTGCAAAGAGTCTTTAACAGTTCCACAAGATTCCTGTTTATTTTCTTACTTCCACCATGCAGTCAACAGCACTGGCAAGGGAACAGCTGGAAAAGGACATGGTGTGTCTCTCCCCTTCCCACAACCAGAGGCACAGACCACTGCTCCCATCACATCATGTACCAGGCTGCAGCTCCTGCCAGCACCGCGACGCAGGCGGCCAGCATCAGCTGCACCAGGGGCTGCTTTGCCAGGGCCACGGCGCCATGGTAGGGACAGATGGGTCCTGCGTTACCTGCTGGAACACAGAACATGCCGTTAGTGCTGCAGGTCTCACGCCACACGCATGTGGCAGCTGTGTCGTCATCCACAACCTACCAAGCTTGTCTGCATAGTAAGGGCATTTGCGCAGGTCTCCTTTTCCATCGTGGACTGGAAGGCCTCCATCTTGGGCTTCTGCCAGTGACTTGCCAATCTTGTCCAGTTCATCAAACACCTGCAAGTGGTCACAGCATGTACATGAAGTGGGCAGAGGCAGGTGGCTTTCACCCAGTCCCTGGAACAGCCTGGAGAAGAGGCAAGAGCCTCTCCTGCCTCCTTCCCCAAGAGGCAGCACATGCTTCTCACTTTGGAGTGTCTTGGCGGGCACTGTCTGTGGTGACACCTGGCACGTGCTATAGCTCTGAGAGGGCACAGCCCCTTCAAGAGCATCAGGCAGACCCAGGAGTGAGACAGATACAGAGTGGCCCCACTGCTCACTGCCCAGCCTGCTGCGGGTGGGAGTACAGGCAATGCACTCCCTGCTGCAGACCCTCCCTGAGAGGACTGCTTCTGGTCATGCAGGGTTCAGGCAGCCCCTCCAGCTCTGCTGCAAAGGGCTTCCCTAAGGATCCTGACAAAGGAGCCACATTTCTGGCCAGCTTAGACCACAGTGACCTGCTATAGGCACAGATGAAAGCTTCCATCCAGTAGCTAAGACTATATTCATCCTCCTGGAGCAAATGGCAGCTCAGTCAGGGTTTATGAAAGGCAAATACTATGAGGAGGACAAGAGGCTACAGACATTTCTGTCCACTGGGCAGCGTGTCAAGACTTGAGACAGGAGATTAATTGTAACCAGCGTACGTAACAAGCTCAAACTGGTTGGGGATGTCTCAGAGCGAGAGCTCTGCTCTCCCCTGGTTTCAGAGCTAACAGCCCACGGAAAATCTTGCAGTGAAGTCATCTCAATTTTGCCCTAATGAAAGGCTCAGCAGTGATGTTGGAGCATGGGAGGAATTCCTGCCCACCATCAGCCATGTCTCCAGAAGCTAGCAGAAGAGCTATTTAAACTAGAACCCCAGCCCCCAGGAAAGGAGGGGCTCTGGTGGCCTCAGACCCAAACCACTGCCTGGGTGAGCAGGCTGACTCAATCTGGACCCAAGAGCTGGTCCAGACTCAAAAACAGCAGCACAGAGGGGCTCAAGGGATTTCACACCTGCATGTTAAATCTGAAGGCTCTGTTGGCTTCCTCCACAATCCTTTCTTTGGTGTTCTTGTCGAAGTCCAAAGCATTCATCCTTGCCCTGTAGAGCTGCTTGAACTGCTGCACATTGGAGATGTTACCAAACACATAGAACTGGATCCCTTCCTCAGTACTGGGCAACTTGAGGGCTCTCTGGGCTACCTTCTTCAGCACTTGGCCACCCGAGAGGTCCCCCATATAACGTGTGTAAGCATGAGCCACTAGCAACTCTGGCTCATTCTGTCCCACATGATGGATTCTGTCCACATATAGCTGAGCTGCCTCTGAACACTGGATCTTCTCTTTCCAGTCTTCTCCATAGAAATATTGCAGGTCTTTGATCAACGCTTCTTTCCGGTGAAGCTCTAGGGGGAAGTACAGAGGAGCAAAGACCGGGTTGTCCTCATTGCGATCCATTTCCTCTTCCAGAGCAGAGTACGTGAAGTAAAGTGCCACAGTGGCCAGCTACAGACAAAGCACAGTGTGAGAAGCCATTCACTACATCAGCATATTACACCTTCTGGCTGCTGCCGTCTGCACAGTCCTGGGGTAAACAAGGAGGAAACTCCCAGGCTTGACACAAAACCAGCCTGGAGATGTGCAAGGCACAGATCGTTTGAAGGATGAGAGGTTCTTCTCTAGCTACATTCATAGAATCATAGAATCATAGAATCACAGAATAGTTAGGGCTGGAAAGGACCTTAAGATCATCCAGTTCCAACCCCCCTGCCATGCGCAGGGACACCTCACACTAAACCATGCCACCCAAGCCTCTGTCCAACCTGGACTTGAACACTGCCAGAAATGGAGCATTCACAACTTCTCTGGGCAGCCCATTCCAGTGCCTCACCACCCTTACAGTAAAGAATTTCTTCCTTATATCCAATCTAAACTTCCCCTGTTTAAGTTTGAACCCATTACCCCTTGTCCTGTCACTACAGTCCTTAATAAAGAGTCTCTCCCCAGCATCCCTATAGCCCCCCTTCAGATACTGGAAGGCTGCTATGAGGTCTCCATGCAGCCTTCTCTTCTCCAGGCTGAACAGCCCCAGCTTTCTCAGACTATCTTCATACGGGAGGTGCTCCAGACCCCTGATCATAACGATGCCTTCAGAGCACAAAGAATTAGCCTCATGTTGCCAGCTCTGTGCTCTGGGGGGGTGCCTCCTGTTACCTTGAGAGCAAGGCACAGGGACAAAAGGTACAACTAGCACCAACAGCTTTGTATTACAGGAGACTACTGTAAATGCCAAAATCTTCAGGATCAGACCCAAAACACCATCTCTTCTGTACAGAAGATAGAGCAATCCAACTGGAAGTCTATGGAAAACAGCTTAGTCTTCAGAGGATGGAATGAAGCGCTGCAGCCACACCTGCCCTTGTGGCCAGCAGATGCATGGCCAGCAGATGCATGGCCAGAAGCCTAGCACTTCCACCTAATCAAACTTGTGCTGGACCAGATTGCTCCTCATCCCCCTACCCCAGCCATAGGATACACCAGGCAGAAGTCCTGGACAAGAGCCCTCCTACGGTTTTGACTATGCCACCTAGAAACTGGATTCCTCGCCACCCCTTGCACACAGGGCTGCAGGGCCCTGCCTGAGTCTGCATCAGTCACTGGACACATCAAAGAGCTACTCTGCCACGGGAGCAGAGCAACACTCACCTTGAAGAGCTCCTCCTTGATCCGTCCTTTCAGAAAGTCTTTGACAAACTGGGTGTTCTCCGCACGGTCATGGGATTCCTTAGTCCCCTCCTTCAGCAGCTCTGAAAGGTCAGTGGGACTGCAGGCAAACAGGGAGAGCACCTTTTACCCCACTTACACCCACAGGAATGAGTTTGTTCCTCCTGTGTTTGGAGGGATGCCCCACTCACTGCCACCTCCAGCCCAATTTGGAGAAGGTACAATTTGGGATTTCTGGAACAAGGCAGAACCAGGAGGGTGGCAACAACCAGAGGTTCCTTCTACAGATGCAGGCACCCATGTGCCAACCAGACTTGCCATTCCAGAAGCGCTGGGCCCACCAGGGGCTCACCACAAACATGCTTCAGCAATTGACAAGCATCCTCTGACCCCTGCACCTTACTTTTGCTTCTCATCCATGAATGAGAAGCATCAATACTTCAAAAGGAGGCCTTGAGCATACTAGGAGCAACCACCAGGGAAGGCTAAAAGGCACAGAAGCCTTACTGATTACCCTTCATGGTCACTCTGTAGAAGGAGAAAGGCTCATGTAAGAGAAGATGAGAGCTGAACAGAAAAACAGGGAAAGAACACCCTGAAAAACTGTACTTATCTGGAATTTTACTGGTTTTGCAGGTTTCCACAAGTCAGCTACTAAAAAGAATAAGTAAAATCTATGATTTTAGGCTATAGCCACTACACCTACCTGGAGTTTGGTACAGAGTTAACAAATGCGCTCAAAATAACACCAAATTGCACTTTACAGGTTTTCTGACTAGTCTGCTACAGATAGCTGCAAGAGACACTCCAGACCCACCAGTGGCCATGCAGCCAGGCAGCATGAAACTGTCTCAAGTCAAAGAGAAGTCAACCAGCACAGAATATCTAGGTATTCTAGGAAGCACCCTGCTCACTCTTCCCAAGTCTGAAGCCTCGACTTTCAGAGCATGTGTGTGAATTTACTGTTTAAACTAACCTCCAAGACAACAGTCTTGCCTAAACCGGTGGGCATTCTGCAAAGGCAAGACAGGCAGCTCCCTAGAGCATAGTTCACCTCTAGGGTTATCTTTCAAACCAAGAAGCTGCCATCACATGAGTCTGCCCAGCAAACCATGGAAAACTGGCTCGCCTTGGCCAGCAGGACACAAACACAAATGCCAAATGGTGAAAGCATTTCTGAAGGGCAAGTGATAGTAGAGACTCAACTGCTTGCTGCCAGCTTTAGCCAGATTACTCCTTCCCATCCCTGCTGGTATACTTTGATCAAACAGATTTACTGCACATATATATTTGATTAATCAGCTGTTGGAGTCCCCCACCTCTTTTCAGATGAGGAGAAAGATCACCCCCTTTAACCTGGAAGGTCTCCTGAATACCCAATACGGTCTGTGCCACATTGTGAGACAGGACTCACCTGACATCATCATCTTCTGTTTCCTCATAGCGCAACATTTCCTCTTCTCCTGTCTCTGTGCTCTCCATTGCAGGCAGTATTGCTGGTTAGCAGTAGAATTAGACAATCTGAAAGGCAAAACCAGAGAGGGGTTTTAGACGGAAGCTGCCTTCACGAAGGGATCGGTCTGAAATGCGGAGCCATACAGAAAGCAGCCTCTGAGCTGCTCCACCAGGTAGGGTGGTGAGGAGCAGCCACTGGCCATTTCCACGGCACAGCAGGCACTTTCAAGGAAGCAATCTTGCTTGCTCAGTTAAATTACCCCAGTGAACTGTAACACTAACACCACCCAGCTCACCAAATGTTAGCCTCAGAGGAGACCTACAACACAGCATGCTGCATTTGGTTTCCCACTTCAGGATGGCTCCAGGCTGAAAAAGATCAGAGACCTCCACATTAGATATCTGCACCAAAATTGTGATCAAGCTGCTTTCTACTGGTGCTACTAAATATTTTATCCAATGCCAGACTCTGAGCAGAGCTACTTCATTTTCACAGTGATACAGAGCTTTCCCTAGAGGAAAGCAGTGGTGAATTAGAGCAGGAGTCAGGCATCTCACAGGGAGACAAACACCTTCCCTGCAATGGAGTATATGCAGACAACTTCCAAAGCAGGGACAGGTTTCACTGCTCTGCCTTTTCTGGCCTGTACTGCATGTGAAGAGTCAAAACGGCTGCTGCAGATGGCTCCTGCTACCACGCACACTCTCCTCTCCTGCCTAGCAGGGTTAACTTGAAACCCCAGAAGTAACTGAGTTCTCCCTCCTCTTCTGTGAAAGGAAAAAACCAAAAAAAACCTCCATGGATGTAGCAGGACACCCAAAGACCTACCCAGAAGCAGGAGTGAGACACCGGGCTTACAGCTGAGGTTCCTCTTAAGCAGAAATCCACCCACCTCATTTACAAAATGGACCTGTAATCAGCTTTGTGCAGAGCAGCACCATCACCTTAGAGGCAGCCTTGCTGGATCAACAGGGAACTAAGCTGTTTCCTGGCTCTTGGAAAGCACTCACTGTAAGAGAGGCAACCCTGACGCTCTCCCATTCGAGGTCAGCCCCCTCAAGGCCAGAAGAGCAGGCAGGCAGCTGCAAGTTCACCAAGCTCAGCACAGGGCCAGCACCAGCACATCAGCTGCTGGATCCCAGCTCACATGGAGCACCCCAGCTATAAATGAACTGCCCCCTGGCTCCTCTCTGAGTTTCTGAAGCCCTGGTCTACAGCCACTTCCATTGCCCTCCACTCCAGCACAGGACTCAGCCAGGAGCGCTGGGAGATGGGTCCGAGCACCCAGTCTGGACGACACATCACCAGGGTGAGGGTTTCCCCTGTGATCACACAGTCCTTGGGCTCACTGGGACAGAGCCTTCCCCAAGGGGAGGACTGACCACAAAACACTACCTTCTGATGCCAGCCAGCCCATTGCAGGAACAGAAGTCACAGGGGAAGCAGCCCAACATCCCCAGGGCCCTGCACCACAGGATAGGACACAGCACAGCCTCCCTAACCAGAGGGCAGAGGAAGACAGGTTCAAGGGTGCTATTTTCATTTTGATAACTCGCTGGACAGCAAGCACCACACCAGGTCAGCAAACGTGTCACAGCTCCACCATGGGGAAAGGAAACTGAAGCAAAGTGGCAGAACCTGCCCAGGCTGAGCCAGGTGCCGGTCGCGGGCCCAGGGGAACAGCATGCCTGCCTCACAGCACAGCCAGCCTCCTGCCAGCACAGCTGCACAAGTCCTGATGTCATCCTGGCTTCCTGCACAGCTGGCTTCAAGTCAGGCACTCCTCAAGAAATGCAGATTCCAAAATTAAACTAGAGAAACTGGGTCCAATTTATCTTACACTTCCAGACAGGCAGAGTCCTGCAGGTAGGGTGTGCTGCCTCTGCATGCTGACAGGCCTGCAGCCACTGGCACAGAGGAGCAGGTGAGAGCAGAGCTACAAAGAGCACTTCAGCACCATCCTGCAGACAGCAAGAAGCCTGGAGATGGCTTGACATTACATCCAACCCAAAGGAAGCCACCAGATCAAGCCTCAGACATGACTAGTTGACAGCCGCAGCAATGGCTCAAGGCTCCCAATGGCCAGACATAAACAGTGTGACTCCAGAGATCATCATTCTACAAGACGCATCTGCTAAGTCACTTGACAGAGCCTCTGCACCCATGTCTTGCAACACACTCATGTTTAGCAGCACTCACCACACTGGGACTTTGCTCTCCATGCCATGGGGCATCTGCTGGGTCTCAGAAGCCTTTACCCAAACCTGTAACTACTATTGTAGAAGCACAACTCAGAGCAGTGAATTAGTGTTCCAGCAGCAGTGTCTGCTGCTGGAAGAATGGGTTAGCACACAAACAGTCATTTAGACTTTGGCGCAGTCAGACTCGTATCTCCCACAACTGTTTTTGCAGATGCTCCATCTGACATGATCACCTCTACAGCGATAGGCAGGACAATGACAGCACCAGTCCCTTCAGCTCAACTGAGGACACTACATACACAGGACCACATGGAAGCTGAGATTTTTCCCAGTACGATCCAGCATAGACATGATGAGCCGTGAATTCAGGAGACAAGTCAGCACAAATCAAACCCCTGTCCTTTTCAGTACTACAGTATCACATGAGAACTCAGAGGAAGGGAAGTAAGAATCACTGCATCTCTTACCATTACACATTCCTTTTATTCAGATACTGGTAGCTAAAAGCCCACAACACGGTCACTCCTCAGGGCCCTCATTTCTCGTGGTCTTGCTCCCCTGCAAGAGGCAGTGTCCTACTCACCAAGCAGGCAGCTCGAGCAGCTGCCCACTTCCACTGCAGAGGCTGGAATGACATTTCATTTGCTTCAGGAGCTCTGCTCATCAAGACCTGCCTGATGTTCAGGGTAAACACATACCTTCCCAGTGCCCTACCAGAAGCCTCCTGGGAGGAATCCAACAGCTACAAGAGGCAGGATAGTGGGGCTACAAATTGGAGACAAGGCTTAGTACAAAACACCTCAGCACTCCAAACATTTCTTTCCCAATAACAGTGTTCAAACCCTCAGAGAAAACATCCCTATCTCATCTAGCCAGCACTTAGTTTGCCCCAGACACATTTCCACAGCAAGTTTCACGCTCAAGATACACAGCCATTCTTCTTAGGGTAGGAAGATGCTTAATCCCAACACTCCACTGCCTTTTGAACGAAGTTGACACTGCTGGGGCAGGGAAGCAGGACTGAAGGCTTGGCTTTGCTTTGGCACCCTTGGGAGAAGCTCAGTAATTTGCAAACACCCAGGTGGTACAGAGTTCAAGTTTGCTGTTCAACCAGTTTACAACTTCAGGCTCTTTCCCTACATGCAGAACTTGCATCCTTGCTTTAACAAGCAGCAGCAGAATGTGGCTGCAGACACCCAATCTTCATTGCAGTGGAGACAAACCCCAGAACCCCAGGCCTAGCAGCTTGAAGAGCCTCACAAAGGTAACCTGGCACTCACATCAGAAGAGCTTCACACCTTCTCCTCCTCCCATGGGGAGGTTTTTGGTGCTGGAAATGGGGCCTCACAGAATAATTTTTACACTGCCTGATCCCAGGGAGGTTCAAGACTTCACCTGAACATAGCCTACATCTAGGAAATAATTCAAGTCTAAGGCACTTTCAGAGGTGTCCACCTAAACGCTACCCCTGTCCCCAGAGCCACATTCCAGCACCTCATCAAAGGGACCAAGGAGGGAAACTCCTGGTAAGTTCACAGATCTTGTCCAGTTCTGCACTTCGGTAATCAGCCCTTGTGCCAGGCACTGCATCCGGAATCTGTTTTCTCATACTGCCTGGGAGAACAGCACAAGGGGCACACCAGTCAACCAGCTTCGCATCTGGGGAGAGTAGGAATGGAGTGTGACAGGCACACATGAACTTCCTGAACAGCCTTTGTTCTGGGGATAGCCAGTACTTGCCCTGCCCATCTCAGCATGCAGTCAGCTGTGCCTAGGACACCCCAAGCAGGGACAGTGACAGGCACTTATAGCTGATGTATGTAAAGCAGCTTTGTGCTGGGCACTATGAGGCTTGAATAAGATATCGGTTTCACCCAACAAAGGAGAAGCTGGGGCAGCAATAGGCTTCATAGGCCTTCGTCCTTCAAGCTCTTAGTCGAGCTCAGCAGGATCAAAAATTGCAGAACAGAATGGCTGGGTTTGGAAGGGACCTTAAAGCTCATCCAGTTCTCAGCCATGCCACGGGCAGGGACACCTTCCACTAGCACAGGATGCTCCAAGCCCCGTCCAACCTGGCCTTGAACAATGCCA